CGTGCTGCGGTCTGCAGTGCTGCTGGATTTGTAACTCTGGGCTTTAACGGCCCTGCTTTAAACCTCAATACGTTCTGTGTGTTGTGTGCGTGTTTTTATGCCAGAAAAGAATGAGCCATAGCAGGAGGACGAAGAAGGCGAGAAGATGAAAGATTTCCAACTGTGGGGTTGTTGGTGTGAAACGAGAAGGGAGAGAGTTCACGGCCCGGCGGTTGACGTCCAGTATGGTATATCGATTCTATTGTACATACTGGCGCAGGCGCCTAGCGCCTCCGGGGCCTGACTCCCCGGCTCGTATCACCAGAAGGCAGAAGGCCGCTGCTCAATCCTTCCGAGAGCCCCGGACAGCTTCAGCAGCCCGTCCGGTGACCAATGACCAATTGAGCAGTACCCCAGTGATTGCATCCCCTCTGCCTTTCCTTTCTGCCGCCGTCCTTTGGACTTGTTTCAGAATTTGTTGCACAAGCGTCCCTTGTATCGGTTAAAATGTTGTATTCAGTCCCGGTCGCACGGCTCTTGCTTGCTTTTCTTTCTTTCTTTCTCGGACGCGGCGCCGCTGTTCTGTTTTGAAGTACAGTACGTCTTATATTGTATGTGGTGTTGCCCGCGTAGCTAGAGCCGTGGCTACCTTCCATTCTGTTGTCTAGGCGGTTGCTGGTTGGGGGTTAGAGGGGAATAGGAGGGGGGACTGTACGGAGAAGGTGTAGATATGTAGACACCATACAAAGACGGGCAGGCAGGCTGTGTCTTGCTCGTGATGGCAATTCACGTTCGTACCGCAGATGTTCGTGGACAGTTTTGGGGAAGGGGTCAACCCCCTGCATTTGGCTTTGCTGGTGCTTGCGCTTCTGGTTGCGCTTCTTGTTGCGGTAGCTTTTACGCCCCTCTGGGCATTTCGAGTGGTCGCTGTGCCCTAGCAGCTCGGGCTTACACCTCGACTGATGGACGCCTACATTTAGTTACGTGTTTCTGGCGGACAGGGGGTTGTAATGGGAGCTTCGCCTGTGCACAAGGCATCAGGCTGCCATCGTTTATCCAGATTGGATGTGTGAAGGCAGCAGGTAGGTAAGTAGGTAGGTAAGTACCTAAATAGCTAGTAGGTAGGTAGATGGTGCGCCGCAACTGAGATGCAAGATGGCAGCGTGTGGCTGGTCGGGCATTTGGGTTTTTACTGTGTTAGGGTTTTAGGTAGGGCTGCAGCTCTATTAGAATGTTAGAATAATTATAACTAATTATAATGTATAATTTCTAATTAGAATTTTAGAAGAGCAGGCCTAGAATGGGTTAGAACGTTCTGATGTTGTACTTTTTGAATGCCCCGAAACCAACACACATTTAAAGCGAAACGACAGCCTTGACTCGTTTAGTCCCCCAAAAATGACCGACTCCGGTGCCGGGCCGTCTAAACAAACAACAAAGAAGATACTTACACGTATGGCAAGAGCGAGCTGGATGCGGCGGCCTATTGTGAGGCACTGAAAAGCGCCAAAGCTAAGTGGAACGCGGTGTGCATGATGATGAGGTTATGATGAAGCTGATTGGAGGGCTAGAGGTGCAGGAGTGAGCGGGTGGTTTGGAGTTCTGGTGGTGTGGCTGTGTGTAACACAGCAAAGGCGTAACCCGGGATGCTCAGATTGGCATTTGCGTCGTTACATTGCCCCCCACTTAGCAATGGACGTCCTCGGCCATTATTTCGAGCACAGGAGCCATCCCACCTCGTGCCAGTGCGCTGGTTTATCCATTACACCATGAATTCGCCAATTTGCGACTTGCTGGTTGCCAGAATCGAACCGCCGACCCGAAGTTTATTTCGGAATTCGTGCGGTCCCGTCTCGATACCATTGTAACACAGCAAAGGCGTAACCCGGGATGCTCAGATTGGCATTTGCGTCGTTACACTGTGCGTTGGGCCCTGATCCTCTCTATTTCCCAGTGTCCAGGCGATGTACTCAAGGGTCCAGAAGTCAGTTTATTATTGCTGGCTTTGGTGGTATTTGCGTGCATGTTGTGTTCGTGACAAGCGTGCTGGAGCCCGATTCGGGTCGGGGCACCCCTGGGTTCGGCTGGCA